ATTAAGATCGATCCAAAAGCAATGTTCTTTTGTATATAACATACAATTTTTGTTCTCTTCTTTAAAGGAAAAGTTGAAAACGGAAGAGTAAGAGACAGATGGAGACAAAAGCAGAGGAAAAAAGATGGGAAAAAAACGAAAACATTAAGCGTTGGCAGGGGTAAGATATTGAATCTGGTCAAAAATGAATCCTGTGAATAGAACAAACTTCTAGATGGGATTCTTCTGAGCTGGAACTAAGCCACATCTCATGTTCAGGAGAATGGATTGGCAATATAGTCATAAATTTATAACGTATCGATAGCTGCATTTCGATTGTAGAAGCTACTCCTCTTCCTTTCCGCCTCATTGACACTCGATCGTCAAAAAACGCACTGCAGAAGGCACTTGCGCATCCGAGTCTAAGTGCTAATATTCTAGTCGTTACCCGACAAAGTGCAAGGGCATAGCATTTAGCACATCGAAATAATCTATCTCTCCTTCGGCTTCCACAATCACTGCAATAATTGACGCGGGAAACAAGAAGACTAGCACCAATGAAGGCTTGATTTTGTAGAAGTTATAGGTAAATGGTTTTCTTCTGTAAGAAGTCTACGCAGATTCTATGTAAAAGCGTTGTTTCTAACGATAAAGCAAGATAGCATTTCTCATCTGGAGAACTGAACAGCAATAACAAAAGTTAGAATTTATCAAACTAAGCAAAATTTTTTGCAGAAAAGTCAGATACGATTTTCTCTTTGAATTGATTTTACAAATGAAAATAGTAACGGTAAATTTGATCTTGCGTCCAGATGAACCCAAAACAAAATGGAAATTTTCAAGTTTTCTTGAAAACATTAATAGCGCCACATTCCGCAATGTTATCTAATGAAACCACGATAACTCCGATTATAAGAGATTTAGAAAATTTCAGAAAAAAATTGTCTCTCTAATTTAATCACTCATTATCTTTAAAAAAAATTTTCCCCCAAATAGTGGGGATAACGCGATTTTCAATATAAGAAATACATAACACTTAGAGGACTGAAAACATGCTTTTGTTTAAAAAACAAAACAAGTGTGAGGAATATGTGAAGCAATAACGTTTAATGATTTGAAAACAGTCATGTCAAATATCAGAAATAGATGCTCATAAGAAACGATATGTTGACAAACGAAAGAAGACACCTATTTAAAAATTGTCACAACTCACTCTGAGAAAGGTTGGCATCTAATTCTCGAGATCGAGACAATCCGTTCCACATGCGAAAAATCTTGCAATAAACTGTCTTTAAATAGCATATAAATCCTCTTACGAGCTTGGTGAGCGTAGTCTGCGCATATTATAGCTTGCTTGAAAACTAATAATTTCTAATAATAAGGAGTAAAGATATGTTCGAATATCCTTCACACACGAAAAATACGTAAAAAAGTGGAAAGAGTTTCAATTACGATATTTCTTTAGATGAGAGCTGAAAGTGCATTCTATAAAAAAGTGTTTTCATTGATGATGCATCAAGTAACTGGTTTTACTGTCAACTTCTGATGACAATTATACAGTCTAAATTAAGCGAATATGCTTGAGAATATGCCATGGCAACATTTCTGATGGGCTTACATAATTCAATTCCCAGCAACAACAACCCGAAACGCTGAGAATACGCAAAAACAGGAAATTACATCACAGTTTCCTGCAAGCTATGAGGAACCCTGACATGAGACAGCAGAAACACAGCTAAGAAGAGTTAAATGGAAAGTTAAGCTTAAGGAACTGGTTTCCAGCTTAACTTTGTAAAGGAATTCCATAAAGCTGATTTTGATGAAAGGTGCTGTGAGCAATATTTAGTTAAGGAGGAAGTGGAAGCGAGGGGAGAGGGGAGGGAGGATTTAGTAGGGAGAGGGAGATATATTTAAAAAAAAAAAACGTCAGTAATGTAGAAATCTAAACATATAAGTCGATGTTCTGACAGCTAACAATAACAGCAAAAGAAGCAGTGTTATGAAATAGATGGGTGGTAAAGAATAAAATGAATGTTTAATGATGTTCTGTCTTCCTCATTAATACGCGCTTTCTGGAATTTTCTCGTGCATTTCTCTCACTGCAATAGGTATCTATAGCAACGCAACACATTGAGAACTGAAACATAGCAATACCTATATTGCAGAAAAAAAAACTGCTATTGAATGTGATGGTGAAAGTTTCTGCTTAGCGCAGCAGAGATGAGTTTTTAGAGAAGCTATTGAATGTGCTTTCGTTAATTATTAGATCAAAGTAGTAGTAAATGCAAAACTAAAATTTTCATCTAAATAATTCTGATAAGTGTCAGAAATTAGAGAGGAGTCTCGTCCGCTGGCGTCAAGCAAGCTGTCGCCACTGTATAATTAACTGATGAAAAGGTCAATCTTTTGCGCAAAGCAGGTTTCTTCAGAGAAGTGCGCTAACAATAAAATTCTTCTCCGAACATAATGCTGGCGCCGGCAACCCCTCACGGTTGGCAGAATCAAGAGTAATAGAGCCAATGCAAAAAATAGCTCGGGCCCCACAAAAGAATCTGCATTTTTACTTCATACAGTCAAATTGGTTTTAAAGAAAGCTGTAATTAACTCTTTAAAAAACGCGATTTGCTATTCTGCTTCAAGATTTTATATGGTGAACTACATCTGTACTATTGTTCTTTATCTAAGAATGGAATTTGTACCGCATG